TTTTTTTCACAGAAACAGAGAAAAAAAATCTTAAAATTTATATGAACCAAAAAAGAACTAATAGCCAAAGCAATCTTGAGCAAAAAGAACAAAGCTGCAGGCATCGCATTCCCTCATTTCAAAATATATTATAAAGCTACTGTAATCAAAACAGCATGGTACTGACATAAAAACAAACATCAACCAATGGAATGGGATAGAAAGCTCAGAAGTAAATCCAAGTATTTAGAGTTAATTGATTTTTGACAAAGGGTCCAAGAACACACAATGGAGAGAGGGCAGTCTCTTCAAATAGTGATGGGAAAACTGGATGTCCACCTGCAGAAGAAAGAAACTGTACTCTTATCTCATACTATGTATACAAATCAACTCAAAATAGATATAAAGGCTTAAACATAAGACCTGAAACTGTAAAGCTACTAGAAGAAAATATAAGGGAATCTCCACAACAATGGTCTGGGCAATGATTTCTTGGATAGGACTCCAAAAACACAGGCAACAAAAACAAAAATAGACAAATAGAACTGCATCAAACTATAAAGTATCTGCACAAGCAACCAAATAACAGGGTGAAAAGACAACCCATGGATTAGGAGACAATATCTGCAAACAATACATCTGATAAGAGGCTAATATTTAAAATATATAAAAAATTCAAACAACCAAACAGTAAGAAAACAAGTAGATTAAAAATAGGCAAAGGATCTGAACAGACACACTTTCCTCAAAAAAGAGATATGAATGGCCAACAGAGATACCAAAAAAAAAAAAAAAAAAAAAATGCTCCTCAGTCCCACACAGTGGCTCATGCCTATAATCCCAGTGCTTTGGGAACCTGAGGCAGGAGATCACTTGGGGCCAGGAATTTTAGACAAACCTGGGCAGAATAGTAAGACCCTCTCTATATGAAAAAATAAAAAAAACAGGCATGGTGGCACACACCTGTAGTCCTAGCTACTTGAGAGGCTGAGGCAGGATCATTGAGCCCAAGAGTTTGAGGTCACAGTGAGACATGATCATGCCACTGCACTCCAGCCTGAACAAAAGAGCAAGACCCTGTCTCAAAAACAACAAACAAAAACTCAACAATATATCTAATTCTCAGGGAAATGCAAATTAAAACCACAATGAGCTATACCTCATGCCTGTTAGAATGGCTATTTTCCTTCTTTTTCTCTTCAACTTTTAAGTTCAGGGGTACATGTGCAGGATGTGTAGGTTTGTTACATAGCTACACATGTGCCATGTTTGCTTCACATATAATCCCATCACCTAGGTACTAAGCCCAGCATCCATTAGCCATTCTTCCTGATGCTCTCCCTGCCCCCATCCCACCCCGCAACAGACCCCAGTATGTGTTGCTCTCCACCATGTAGAATGGCTATTTTCAAAAGATGAATGATAACAAGTGTTGGCAAAGATATGGAGAAAAGGGAGCCCTTCTACACTATTGGTGGGAATGTAAATTAGAACCACCATATTGAAAATAGTATGAAGGTTCCCTAAAAACCTAAAAATAGAACTACCATACAATCCAACAATCCTGCTTCTAGGTATATACCCAGAGGAATTGAAATTGATACATCAAAAAGATATTTGCACTCCCATATTCATTTCAGCTTTATTTACAACAGCCAAGATACGGAAGCAATCTAAGTGTTCATCAGTGAAAAGAAGGATAAAGAATAAAAAATGTGAGATATATATATATATATATATAAAAAGATTATATAGCCTTATAAAAGCAAGAAATTCTGTCATTCACAACATCATGAAATGGAACTGGAGGACATTATGCTAAGTGAAATACGTCAGGTACGGAAAGACAAATACTGTCTTTAATAAATGATCTCACTTTGTGGGGAATCTAAAAAAGTCAGTCTCAGAAACAGAGGGTAGAAAGGTGGTTACCAGAGGCTATACAGGAGGAGGGAGAGAAAAATGGAAGATGTTGATCAAACAGTACAAAATTTCAGTTAGATTGGAGGAATAAGTTTTAGTGATCTATTACACTGCATGCAGACCCCAGTTAATAATAACGCATTATGTGTTTTACAATTGCTAAAATAGATTTTTGACATTCTCATCACAAAAAGATAAATTGGTGAGGTAATATAGATATGTTAATTAGCTTTACTGAATCTATGATGTACACATTTTAAAAATCACATTGTACCCCACAAATATATACAATTAATATTTGTCAATTAAGAATAATTGAAAAATTTTTAAAGATTAATAAAAAAGAAATAAGTTAAAACATTCAACATATAATAGGCGATATGAATGTACAAGAAATGACAAAATCCCAGCATTGTGGGAGGCCGAGGAGGGAGGATCATGAGGTCAAGAGATCGAGAACATCCTGGCTAACACGGTGAAACCCCGTCTCTACCAAAAATACAAAAATTAGCTGGGTATGGTGGTGGGCGCCTGTAGTCCAGCTACTTGGGAGGCTGAGGCAGGAGAATTGCTTGAACCCAGGAGGTGGAGGTTGCAGTGAGCCGAGATGATGCCACTGTACTCCAGCCTGGGTGACAGAACGAGACTCTCTCTCAAAAATGACAAAGTTTGAGCAACATTAACTTAGACTGTAAATTCTTAAAGAATAGAAAAGTTGTGTTTTTCTTCTAAGAAATATTATGTTTTTACATTGCAAGAAATATGTGACACAGAGTTTTTCTTAATCTCTCTTTTTTAATGTATTCTAGACAGGCAAGCACATGTAATTTATTGAGCACCTAGTGTGTGCTAATGCACCAAACTGAGCTTTACATACATTATAGCTAATGCTCTCAATAACTTTTCCATTTTATTTTCCCCTTTCATTATCCCCACTTATAAACGAAAAAACGGCTCCAGAGCGGAAAGGCCTATTGCCCAAAATATTAGATAGGAAACAACAGAGCTGGAATTCGAAACCACGTTTGCCTAATGAAAAACACTTATGTTCTTTCCACTGTACAAAGCTGCTGTAAGTATCACTGGTGCATACTCCAGGCCAGGGAGTAAATATCATTCATCCTTATCACATACAAAGTATAACAGAACAAAAACAAGAAGCTCTGAATACTAAATAATAATAATAAATACTTTATAAAAGATAAACTATTCTCTAAGAGTAAAAAATAATAAGCCTATTATCATTATAGCTGGTAACTGAACTTAACTAATTTTCTAAAAGACACAGCAGAACTGTTTGTTGTTTAAGCAAATATCAAGGCATACCCCCAATCCCTGTTACAGGGAATAACAGAGTCTTCTTCAAATGCCTTTCAAAGCTAATGTGAATATTAAAAGAAAGTGCTACTGATCTCTCTATATTCTAGAAAGATCTCAGATGAACAGTGTCAATTCAACTATTACAATAAATAGCCATGTAAAAACTGCTCCCCTGCTAGAGCTACACTATCACAAGATTAACCCCAGCAATCTACAGTTCCAGAAAAAGAGTTGGTCCCTCCTGCTGAAAGAGAAAACCAAGTTCTACATATGTTATGAATCAATGGAAAATAATGACATTAGCAGCACTTCACATCCAACATGTATTTATATCTTAAGTGATAGCTACAATCTATATAACTGTCACAGAAATCTTCTTAAATTGAACAAAAGCATTATCTATCATCCTTGCTATCTCGAAAAATACCAGTTTGTTTCATCTATCCATAACATTAGAAAAAATACTTCTTTTATCATGGCCAACCCTTATGTTTTGGAATTTTTTTCAAAAACGTAGACAGTTCATAATGCTCTCAGACAGAAGTTACCACTACCACTACCCCATAAATTAAGTCAAAATATAACCGAAAAGAAGAAAATTCTCTAGTAATGATTAATTTGTTGAATAATTAAAAATTAGGAATTTTGGATAATTACATGTTAGGAATAATTAAATTTTTACTAAATACTGGCACAGGAACTGAACGGATGACAATAGAGACAAATTAAGATTTGTTTTAATCCTTAGTTTTATGCTAAGGTAAAGTCAAGGGCTCTACTTTCCAGCGAAAGAAAAATTTCCTTTAAAATTGTTTCCCTCTTCTATTATTACTGAAAAGCAAAGGAAGTATTTTTTCTAACAGTGATTATAGGATTCTCAATCTTTCATATTAACTTTTAGGTACTACATGTAAGCTACATAAATCTTTCTCCAATCTACCTCTGTTAAGTAAATTAAAAAGCAGATATTGAACTCAAAGCATCTAACTGTTGATTTTCTATAATTATAGAAGATATTTTCTTCTGATATTTAAAGTTTGTATTTAGGCATATTAACTCAACAATTTTTTAATCTAAAGTTTAATATATTAATGTAGAAAACAACTGAGGCTATTTTCTCTCTATAAAACTAACATGCCTTTTCCAATTAACTTAGTTTCCTTCTTAGCAAAAGTTTAACATTTATCTCTATTCTGAGTTACGCTGTGGTTGCATAATGTGGAAATATCTTAAGATTTAGCCACTTCTATGAAGATCCTATATTTATTACAACACCCCTCTTGCCCAGAACATACATCAACAAAAAGTGCTACTATATGTTCTGCATTGACTATTACAAAGCAGTAGGGGGAGCAGCCAGAGAAAGCACTGAGACAAAGCACCCCAGCAAAGCAACTTAATTTACAGGCAACAGAAACATGCTAGAGAGGTTTGTCAAAAGTCAAATACACAAAATAAATTCCATAAAGAAGTCATGACTACATTTGTAAAGCTGGCCTAAGTACATTCGGAATGAAGTATAGAAAAATCTGAAGTCTCTTAGGGGCTGGATTCTAACTTCAAGACAGACTTTCAGCTTGAAACACAGTCATTTCCAGCCATGCCAAACCTCAAACTGCCCCCAAAATTAGAGAGCAGAAACAAAATACCATTTTTATAGTGATACGTCTTGGGAAGAACTCAAAACGATTTCGTTTTCTCCTTTGAACCTCACTGAACTTACAGGGAAGGCCTGGTGAAAGGTGCATTATTAGGTCACAAGAGGATAACGTTACAGGGTTCCATAGCATAATCCTTGAAAGCCCTGAGGCCCAGACCGCTCGCTGTCCTTCTTTCCTCTCCACTGACTCCCATCCTCGATATACTTTCTATGAGAGAAAGGTAACCAAAAACATGGTGAAACTATTCTACTTAAAAGGTGTTTTACTACAAAGGCACATTGACCACTAACCCTTATTATATTTTACATGTTCTAAAAATTAGTAAGGTCTGCATTTTCAGTTTTAGAGTAAAACGGGAAAAGTACTTAGTTAGCTCTTCTGTCTGGCATTCTGTAACTGGAATTTAAGAAAAACCTAAACTTCTAATTAGAACTTCAGAATGTTCATGTCTGTATTATACCACAAAAACTATAAATATAATTTAAGCATTTTTATGATACAGAAATGTGTGCTATAGACAGTTATCTAAGAATTATAAAATTCCATAAAACTTGAAATGTCTAGTATAAGTTACAACTGAATGGTAAAAAGACATTTTAGCCATGTAAGCAACCAATGAAGTTTGACCTAAAACCCAAATAATAGCAATAACAACAGATACAGTGCTTACTATTGTCAGATACTATATTAGCTAGCTCTTTTTTATATATTCTTTTGAACTCTTACACTGATCTTTCAAGACAGTTATTATGATGCCCATTTTATGCTAAGGAAACTGAAGCTAAAAAAAATTGAAGTCGTTCTCTAATGTAACTCCATTAGCAAGAAACAAAACCGTAATTCAACTTCCAGGTTTGCCTGCCTCCAAAGCTTTGAGACCTCACTAAAATTACGCTCAGTTGTAGCAATGAGGTTCCAAAGGAAATCTGTACAAATCTCAGGCAGATTAATGTGCTTATAAGGGTAAATGCTGTAGATTTAATCACTCAAATTGAATGCCATCTGGAATCTCTTACCCCACTTGGTACAAGCATCCTACATGTGTTATAGCCAACCCTAGCCTTGGCCAAGAATTCAATAATTTTCCTGCTTCAATGCCATCAACAAGCAAGCAACATTATAATACCAATACAGGAAGTGCAGCTAGTTGCTCCTAGAGCATCATTTAAAAACTGCTAATTGGTTAAGATGCCTTTTATTGAGAAGTCTAAGAAATAGAAATAATATGTTAATCCAGTTTGTTTAATGGGTTTGAGGAATCAGTTTCCTCCTTCCTAACACCTAAATCCATCTTCATAATAAGTATTTTCTATCACCATTTAAAAATCCTGATCTCTTACTAGTGTTTTTATTGTGCTTTTTGATCTATTACAGTAAATTTTTAAAACCTCAAGAGAGAACAGAGAATACTGTCATAATTTTTCAAAGGCTAAAAGAGAATAAACTGAAAATACCAGCTGGTTTGAACACGTATATGTAAAAAGAATGGATGGTAATAAAACTAACAACCGAAAAGCAATGTTTCAGATTCATTCATTCATACTCAAGAAATATCAAATAACTGAGTGGAGATGATGCGAGCGGTACACATTTCCAGTTCAGACTGAAGGTGTGGCAACACTCACAGGGGCCTTGGGATCAGCTGCTCCAACTCAGTTTACAGCTTTTGTGGATGTGGCCTATTCATGCCCTTGTTATCAAGAAGAGTAACTTTACAACCCTTAGCAAGAGGTTTCTTTTCTTTCTATGCCAACCCTTTTTTGTCTATAAAAGTCATGTAAGCTTAGCACTTATTTAGAAATAAATAAGTTAAAGAACACATGAATGGCTTGGACATTAAAAGTTTAAGCTACAGCTTAAGCTGAGCTAAGTTTAATGTTAAAAATTAGTGTGACGGCAATGATTTTTCAATTCAGCTCTGTCGTGGGCTAGGAAAAAATATCGTAATTTTTCAGCCACAAGACATAAACATTGCTAGAATGACTACATTTTGAAAAAATTATCTTCTCGCTTTACCTAGATTTCATTTTAACCAAACAGACCAACCTCTCCTATCAAACCTGTAAATTAACTCAAAGTCTAATTTAGGGCCTTCATAGTAAAGATTACTTTTTCTAAATCTCTGTCTTATCTGGTGCTTTTAAAAGAAGGGATCATTTTAGGCAATTATTATGACCTAAAACATTTTTAAATCTTAATGTACAGATTAATTCCTTGACAGCTGAAGTCATTTACAATACATTATTAAATTTCACATTCAGTGTTAAATCCAAACATAGGTCTCAACATGAAGAATACGGATTTTAGGGAAAGCAACTAGCTGCTCAAATTCATTTAGCTGAAAAACTACTGTTAAATCATCTTGAAAACATACACTAATGCTTGTACATTGCTAAGTGGCTTTTGATTCTGCTCTTCCTTTTCTTACATAGAATCAACCACACAATGGAATTAAGAACTCTGGCCCATGGCAAAGTGCTCCCATTTAGCAGTTAGGACACTGGACATATTCAGCATATGTCTACTGCTATTAAGAATCAAATTATGAAAAAAAACCCTGTATTTTATAAAACTAAGAATTTGTTACCCAAATGAGAACAAAGGTACCTAATGCCACAGCAGGGGGTAGGAGTCCCAGTAAGAGAGCAATAATTGGTCATTCTGATGAGGAGCTGTGCCAAATTTAGAAATGAGGCACAAATGACAAAAAACAGAATTGATCGTCAGTGTGGACATGGGTAGGTCAGTGTGCATATGGGTAGGTTAGTATCTGCTGGCCGTGTCTACAGAGCCCCTTTTATTTATTTGAAGCCAACTTTTCACTTGACAATGCTACCTACAAAAGCACTGTTAATAGATAAGACAATCAAGTGGCTGTTATGCTGTGGCATTTTTGTAAAAACTGCGTGAGAACAGGTGGGATAAAAACCATAGTAAGCTAGAAAAAAAAAGTATCACTCATTGAAAGATATGTGCACACAGATGAACTGTAAGTTAATATAACCTTCTTGACCTTGTAAATAGCCAAAAATACTTAAATATCTTGCAGAGGCAACTATTTGTCACACATTACCAGTCTTTACTGGCTGAATCCTTCAGCCATCTGCACATGACATGCACAGGCAAAGAGCCATTAAAAACATATATAATTCCAATTATCTCCTTGCATAACTAAAGACAAAAAGAACAGGAAATCCAAAAAATACAGCAAAACTGAAAACATTATACCTTGCCTTCCGTGCTATTTTAAGGCTGTCCCAGGCTGAAGGTTACTTCTCAGCCCTCAAAACTCCATTAACTGCCAAGACCAGCACCTTAGTACATATGGCACAGATGCCTAGTTGAAGCCTCCTTGTACTAAATGACCTCGAAAAACTGGGCTTTCTCTCCAAGATTAATGGAAACAAAAGTAATGATCATAAGGAACCTTCTAACTCTATTAATGTTTCCTGCGGATGTGTATGGCCAACTGAATATATAAAGGCTCAGTTCTTGCAGGGTACCCTGACAACCAGATGAATTAGGGTGAAGGTTCCAAGTTCGATGAACTCTTCTGAGTTTGAGTGCCCTAGGTGGTGACATTCAAGTGATTTCACAGACATCCACCAATTCTTATTTTAACCGGGAATCCCAAGAACACCTTTAAACATGCAATGCCAATGGACCCTACTGGGTTTCTGCTACAAGGGCACAATGTCACTTAGGAACCCTGTGTCTTGGGAGGTACTTAAACTACGTCAAATTGCTTTTGGAAAATGTTTATCTGGCGTGACTAGGAGAGGCAAGGCATGGAAACAAGAACCTCCCTCTAAGGAGCAGAATAGCCAACATGCAGTAAGCCTAAAAAACCTCTCACTGTATTTCCCGGGGCTATGGGTACTAGCGGGCTTGCCGGCAGGGGAATCAGCAGCCTGGGGGCATCGGTGACAGCAGAACCGGGGCTTACCTTGTTGGAGGCCATCTCACTGACGGAGTGCCTGGTCTGTAGGGTCTCTAACTGGTCCAGACACCAGTCCAGCTCCTCCAGGGTCTCGCTGGCCAGTTTCTGGTAGGCCTCCTCTGCGAAGAGACAGGGAAAGGGGGACTCAGTTCTCAAGCGCTTCACGGGTCCGCTAGTGAGTTCAAAGGGGGCCATCCTGCCATACCCCGCCATGCTCGGATGCCCGGTGCCGGCACATGAGGGCTGCTCCTTCATATTGCCCAGCCCGGCAGTGCAACGGGGGCGGAGGCTCTGCTCGCGGGGCGGCTGGCCTCGGGGAGGCACGGTCTCTCCAGCTTGGCGTGACGGGTCGGCCTCCAAGGAGGGCGTGCAAAGAGCGGCGAGCCAACTTTCACACGGCGACGCGGGCGTAAAAACCACTATGCGACTTTTCAACTGTGCGACGGGCCCAAGTCCCAGTCCAGGAGCCCGACTCTAGCGGATGGCGAGGGGATGGCGCGCGCGCTTAGGTGTCCGCCCCGGAGAGGAGCGTCTGGTCCACAGCCCGATCTCCTAGGTCCCCGGCCCGGAGCCGCGGCCCCACGCCCGCCCCGCCTGCCGAGCCTTCTGCACGGCACTTGAAGCGAATGAATCAGCCGCGGCCGGGTGCGCGGCCACCACGTTTCCTGTTTTCTTTCTCAACTCCTCGGGCGGCAGGCGCAGCGCGGCTCCAACGCCGCAGCTTTCCGGGAACACTCCCCCTCACGCCCCTCTCGGCCCTCAGCGCTGCCTGGCTCCTCCTCAACCCCCTTACGAAAAGATTCCGAATTGCAAAAGCCTGTCCATGCCACCCGCCGTGTCCTTCCCCTCGGGCTCTTCCCCGGGGGCCCCGCCACCTCGCAGTGCCATCCCCCCGGAGCAGCCGGGCGCCACTCGCTTTGAAGTGCAGCCGAGGAGGCGCGGCGCGAGCGTGTGTGTCTGTGGGGCTGCTGTGGGACTGTCTGTGCTAGGAGAGCGGCGGAAAACCCGGCGTGGAGCGCCTGCAGCCCTCCGCCCGGGGTCGCGCCCGCTGCGGGGCTTAGGAGGGACCTGCGCGCAGGCGCGCACGGCCGCGCACCTGCCCAGCGGGAACCCCGTGCAGCCCACTGAGCCACTGCCCTCCAGGTTGCCCCGACCGCTGGAGCCTCTGCGTCTCCAGGACCAGCTGCTTCCTGCCAAGTTTCACAAACAAGGTTATTTAGGACCCTCAGTGTTTCTGAGGGTTTAAGGTTTAGGGTTTCTGGGGGTTCGTTTCTAAAGGTTTAGGATTCACCTACTTGAAGGAGGCAGGCTTGTGGGAATACCCGCGTTTCTATTAAGACCACATCCTTTTTCTACGACCAGCCCAGTCTCAGTACCAGACTTCTAAATGTTGGGGCAGACAGAAACAAGCAAACAAAATATACAATGTTGCGGGATCGGAACGCTTTATAGTTCACAAATTTGACAATAGGCTGCATTTTCATATGCAGAATTGCCTAAGAGTTATCTTAAAGGAACAGCAATGTGAAAGAAACACATGGTAAGGAGAATTTACGCATGTCCTGCATACTACTCCTTTCCCCTGTGAATTGCACAAGACCTAGATGATCTTGGGCTAAGGAAGAAAATCTGGCATGGTGTTTCTACCCACCATGCGCAGATTACACTACAATTTTGAGAAAACGGAAAGACCACATTCAAAGGCATAGGGAAGTCTGTTCTGTTTACAAAGGCTGACCTAGGGGACCAGAGGCACTCTCGCTAAGCAGACCAGTTGTGGGAGAACTTCTCTACATTGGCATGCAATAAGCAAACCATTCACAGTGGGGAGAAATCAAACTCCCAAGAGTCCATTTTATAAAACTTTGTCATGGTCGAGTGGAAAGAAGATGCTGAGAAACTTACACGAAGTGGTGGGATCCTCTGTCTTTGTCTTTAAAAATCTACAGGTATTGGTGGAGAAGAAATTCTGCCCTTGAAATTTAGACTCCATAAATTATCAGTGGCACAACAAAGAAATTCATCGACTGAATTTAGTCTCCTCGGATTTTTCACATAGCTTCTTATATGAAATTTGTAAAAGTTAGAGCGACTTTTAAAGTATTTGTTACAAGTGCCACGTGGCTTGTTGTTATCAAGAATTCTTGAACTATTTACTGTTCACTTTGAGTACTCTACGTTAAAATTTGCCTCTTTTTTGTTCTACTTCCTCCATCCCGCAGTCTAAAGTGAAGTAAATATATGCTTTAGATGGACAAACAATTGCCTAAACCTTGCCAGGTGAATTAAAATTTCAGATTGAAGCTTTTTTCTTCCCCATTAATAACAGGAACAAGTTAAAGATATTAATAATTTTAAATGGTAAATATAAAATACTTGTTCTGTATAGCTTCCCCAATTCTAAGAATGTAAAAAATATTACATGCTTGTTATAAAAATCGAAGCATTACACACAAATATAGAAAGCCCATTGTAACCCCACACTCTAAAGATCACAAACAATACTTTCGCCTGTGGCTCTAACACAATCATTTTCATTTTACTGAATAATTTCCATATGCAAGTATAGCATCACCTACTTGCCATGGTAGTACATCTACTATATGGTTTGGTTTTGACATTTTCCTCTCTCTCTCATTCCCATAAGATAGGAATGTAGGAAATTTTAAGAGTACATTGACTTTTTTAATGATCATTTGAGCTGTCCATAGTTAGCCTATCCAGTGGATTAAAGATACGTAGCCATTGTATTCAGGGATTTGTTCAGTGCCACCTTTTCAATCATCGGTTACAATGAAGCTGGGAGTCCCCTCCGAGGTTTGGCTTTCTGTGGTTCCTCTCCCCTGCCCTCCAACTTTCTCAAAGCCTGAGCCTCAAGTGATTTCCCAGTAGCTAAGTAAGCTGCCCCCCTGCCCCCAACTTCACCAAGTTCCCAAAGCTCTTCAGAAATCAAAAGTACAAACTCAGGCCTCAAATCTAACAGGATGTGGCTCCACACATTATATTTCAGTTGTTATTTTTTAATGTGGAAAAGTAATTCGGGAATGTTTTGGCTAATGCTTCAAGACATCATGCACTTTAGACACAGGATTTGCTCTTAAGAAGGTAGTATAGTGACAGGAGGAACAATTTATTTCAGAATATCCATTTTATGTCCAAGCCATGCACCAGTCATTTTTGACAGACAGGATTTGAGTATGATCATAAAGTGGTGTAAGCATGTATTTTAAGTTCTAACATCTTCTGTATAAATATGAAAAATGAAAAATCACTAGACCACATCTACATACTAGTGAGAAAATAATTACTAACAACAGAATAAAGAACAGTTTGCTCTGTGAAACTGTTGCTGAAATAAAGGACTATTCTTGATATTAGCATAGAGCCGAGAATATTGCTTTTTTCCAAATTCCTAGGCGAACAGGCAATATAGCTAGCCACGATTTTTCAGGATCATTTGTAAAGCTTCACTTTTAGGAATTTTAACCCCAAGTGTTCTAAGACATCAAATAACTGACCTTTTCATCCCTCCAAACAAACCTCAAAATGGAGTTGCCAACTATCCTACAGGAAATTGAGTCACCACACCAAGCAACACACCTAAATGTCGACAGCCAGCAGGACAAAAACAGTGAGCCAGTTTAATTTTGGCTTTTACCAAGAACACATACTGCATTCATTAATAAAATACTTCCCCCTAACCCCTGCCAGAGTAGTATACACTGTGGCTCTCCTTAAAAATACATGAAAACTCTTTAACTGCCCCAAATCTTGCTAAGTCAAGGAGCTAAACAGAGAAAAACACCCAAGCAAAAACTATTGGCTAAACTCCCTAAAGGCTGGGAGAGGGCTATGGAACAGCAACTGAGAAATAACTTGAGCCTTGAAGTCCCCTCCTACAACAGCATCAGTTTTCTTCAAGGCACCTTTGAACTATGTAACACTCGCGTTCTGCTCAGGCTCTTCTGTGAACAAACAGTCCTCAATTCTTGCGGGCCAGCACTTGGCTTCTGTCATAGTGATATGCTTAGAAGTTCCCCTGACACATGGCCTGAAACTGTGCCAGGGACTCCAGGAGAAGATGCTGAAGCAGCAGCTTCCTTTTGAAAAAGGAAAAAAGTAATCACCTCAGAGCCACAGCAGGTAGCTAGAGGTTGAGGTTGTTTTTTTGTGAAATGTTCAGTCCATTACTCTCACCCACAACTCACAGTGATGTTGGCCATTGAGGTAAAAGGATCCACTGTACGGGATGTGTAACTATGTGGACATTAGTTTCTTTGCCAACACTTGAAGGTCTGCTAAAGGACTGTATCAGCTTGTCATAATTCCTAGATAGACCTATTGGTATACATGAAAAGAACAAGTCCAAAATATACCACTTACTTTGGACACCATTTGCCCGCCCTTAATTTTAAAAAATAATACAAATTATAACAACTGATCCAGATTTTTTAAAAAGAAAAGAACTATAACAAAAAGCTCCTAAGAGCAAATACTTAAATCTCCCTAACCAGTTCCAGCTTCTCTTAATTCTTACAAAATTTCCTCTTTATTCTGAGGAAGGAATTGATACTGTCTACAGTAGATAGAACTGGAGAAAATGATTTCTATTTCACTATGTATTGCTATGAGCTAGTCATTCCTTTGGTTTGCTACAGTAAAAGATTTGTGTAGGTTAGGTCTAACTTTTGCTGCTTAATTTTTTTTTCCTGTATACATTTTATCTGATGGGAAATACATGAAGGCTCTGGATTCTCTTTCAATATGTACATGTAATGGGCTTAAGCAGAGCTTGCTAGTGGCAAGCCACTCTCATCTCCAAGTGTATTTCTGGCATCAAATTATTGTTTTGAAGTATTTTAAAATCATATAAAATATATAAAACTTTACTTAGTACTTCATAAAGCTTCCAAAGGAAAGATGTGTGTAATTTTGTGAGGGTTTTCTTTTTCTTTTATCTTCCACTATCTACAATTGTTTTTCTAAGTGTTGCCTATGGCTGTAGAATTTTTAAATGAAATAAACATGAGATTGGCTTTCATTGACGTTTTAGTCCCACCAGTAACTCAACATTTATTTAGCACTGACTATATGCCATGTACTTTATTAGAGGCTGCAG